GTGGGCTGCAGAGGAAGAGAGCAGGAAGATCAGTCTGGGACACCTCTGTGCCCCATCACCAGGGAGCAGGGTTCTAGGGGACGGGGAGGGAGACAAGGTAGTTCAGAAGGCCCGTCTGATGCCAGATGGAACACCCTGGGCCTGACATCACCTCCCCTAGTTCAAGTCCATGTTTTCCAAGTAACCTTCAGGTTGTCCAGTTGGTTTCCCAGGGCAGGGGGCTAGCCTGGAAAGGGCATGTGAGTCCTGCAGGCCTGGGGAGATGGTCTCCCCCGGTTGTGTGATACCCTAGCATCTGGTTCATCCACCAGCCCCCTCCTGGCTCAGCACCCGCCCTCTCCTGCCTGGGCCCCACAGTCCATTTCTGCAACCGCGTTTGACAGAACTCACCCATTGTGGCCTTGGGGTCCATTCTTGCACTCACGCAATGAATCCCCAACATTGAGTTCATCCAACCACAAGTCATCTCTCCTCCTACTCTCAGGTCCTGTTGAGCTGTGCATACCAATATGGTAGCCACTAGGCACATGTGCCACTACGCGTCTGTCAGTTTGTTGTACCGTGGTGGCTTGTATGTTGCTCTGATACTGGAAGCTTTACCTCGGTATCTCAAATACCAGCAGGGTCACCCTTGGTGGACAGGTTTCAGTGGAGTTTCCAGACTAACACTGACCAGGAAGAAGGACCTGGTGATCTATTTCTAAAACAACTGGCCAGTGAAAACCTTATGAATAGCATCGGAACATTGTCTGATATAGTGCCAGAAGATGAGCCTCTCAGGTCGGAAGTCACTCAGGTACGACTGGAGAAGAGCTGGCTCCTCAAAGTAGAGTCGACCTTAATTATGTGGACAGAGTCAAGCCTTTGAGACCTTCATTTGCTGATGTAGCACGACTCAATATGAGAAAAAACAGATGCAAATATCCATTAATAACAAGAATGTTGAATATACGAAGTATGAATCTAGGAAAATTGGAAGTTGTCAAAAATGAAATGGAATGCCTCAAGATCCATATCCCAAGCATTCGTGAGATGAAATGAACTGGTATTGGCTATTTTGAATCGGACAATCATACGGGCTACTATGCCGGGAATGAAAAATGGACGAGGAATGGCGTCGTTCACTGTCAAAAGAATATTTCAAGATCTATCCTGAGGTACAATGCTGTCAGTGATAGGATAATATCCATATGCCTACAAGGAAGACCAGTTAATATGAGTATTATTCAAATTTACACACGAACCACTAATGCCAAAGATGAGGAAACTGAAGATTTTTACCAACTTCTGCAGTCTGAAATTGATCAAACACGTAATTAAGATGTGTTGATAATTACTGGTGATTAGAATGCCAAAGCTGGAAAAGAAGAACGACTGATAGTTGGAAAATATGGCCCTGGTTATGGAAACAACACTGGAGATGGAATGACAGAATTTTGCAAGACTAATGACTTCTTCATTGCAAACACCTTTTTCAACAACATTAAACAGTGACTATACACATGGATCTTGCCAGATGGAATACGCAGGAATCAAATCAATTACATCTGTGGAAACAGATGATAGAAAAGCTCAATATCATCTGTCAGAACAAGGCCAGGGGCCAACTGCGGAACAGACTATCAATTGCTCATATGCAAGTTCAAATTGAAGCCGAAGAAAATTAAAATAAGTCCAAGAGAGCCAAAGTACGGCTTCGAGTATATCCCACCCGAATTTAGAGACCATCATAAGAATAGATTTGACACATTGAACACTAATGGCCAAAGACCAGATGAGTTGTGGGACGACATCAAGGACCTCATACATGAAGAAAGCAAGAGGTCATTAAAAAGCCAGGAAAGAAAGAAAAGACCAAAATGAATGTCAGAAGAGACTCTGAAACTTGCTCTTGAACATCGAGTAGCTAAAGTTAATAGATGAAATGATGAAGTAAAAAGAGCTGAACAGAAACTTTCACAGGGCAGCTTGAGAAGACAAAGGAAAGTATTAATGAAACGTGCAAAGACCTGGAGTTAGAAAACCAAAAGGGAAGAACACGCTCAGCATTTCTCTAGCTGAAAGAACTGAAGAAAAAATTCAAGCCTCTAGTTGAAATACTGAAGGATTCAATGGGGAAAATATTAAAGGACATAGGAAGCATCAAAAGAAGATGGAAGGAATACGCAGAGTCACTGTACCAAAAAGAATTGGTTGCTGTTCAACCATTTCAGGAGGTAGCATATGATCAGGAACTGATGGTACTGAAGGAAGAAGCCCAAAGTGCAGTGAAGGCTTTGGCGAAAAACAAAGCTCCAGGAAATGATGGAATACCAATTGCAATATTTCAACAAATGGATGCAGTGCTGGAAGTACTCACTCATCTACGCCAAGAAATTTGGAAGTCAGCTACCTGGTCAACTGACTGGAAGAGATTCATATTTATGCCTATTCCATAGAAAGGTGATCCAACAGAATGCGGAAATCATCGAACAATATCACTAATATCACACACAAGTAAAATTTTACTGAAGATCATTCAAAAGTGGCTGCAGCAGTATATCAATAGGAAACTGCCAGAAATTCAGGCCGATTCAGAAGAGGATGTGGAACAAGGGATATCAATGCTGATGTCAGATGGATCATGGCTGAAATTAGAAAATACCAGAAAGATGTTTACCTGTGTTTTATTGACTCTGCAAAGGCATTTGACTGTGTGAATCATAACAAATTATGGATAACACTGTGAATAATGGGAATTTTAGAGCACTTAATTGTGCTCATGAGGAACCTGTATATAGATCAAGAGGCAGTCGTTTGAACAGAACAAGGGGATATTGCGTGGTTTAAAGTCAGGAAAGCTGTGTGTCAGGGTTGCATCCTGTCACCATACCTATTCAATCTGTATGCTGAGCAAATACTCTGAGAAGCTGGACTGTATGAAGAAGAATGTGGCATCAGGGCTGGAGGAAGACTCATTAACAACCTACAATATGCAGATGACACAACCTTTCTTGCTCAAAGTGAAGAGGACTTGAAGGACTTACTGATGAAGATCAAAGACCACAGCCTTCAGTATGAATTACACCACAACATAAAGAAAACAAAAATCCTCACAACTGGACCAACAAGCAACATCATGATAAACAAAGAAAAGATTGAAGTTGTCAAGGATTTCATTTACCTTGGATCCACAATCAACATCCATGGAAGCAGCAGTCAAGAAATCAAAAGACGCATTGCATTGGGCAAATCTGCTGCAAAAGACCTCTTTAAAGTGTTGAAAAGCAGAGACGTCACTTTTTGGACTAAGGTGCACCTTACCCAAGCCATGGTGTTTTCAGTTGCCTCGTATGCATGTGAAAGCTAGACAATGAATAAGGAAGACTGAAGAAACACTGATGCCTTTGAATTACGGTATTGATTAAGAATATTGACTATACCATGGACTGCCAGAAGAATGAACAAATCTGTCTTGAAGAAATATAGCCAGGGTGCTCCTTGGAAGCGAGGATGGCAAGACGTTGTCTCATGTAATTTGGACATGCTATCAGGAGAGACCAGTCCCTGGAGAAGGACATCATGCTTGGTAAAGCAGAAGGTCAGCGAAAAAGAGGAAGACCTTTGACGAGATGGATTGACACAGGGGCTGCAACAACGGGCCCAAACGTATCAAAGATCGTGAGGATGGCGCCGGACGGGGCAGTGTTTCATTCTGGAGTTGTAGGTGGGGTCACACGAGCTGGAACCGACTCGATGGCACCTAACAACAGGCACATGTGGCCATACACATTTAAATGCAAATTAATTAAAATTCAAAATTCAGGTTTTCAGTTGCACTAGCCACATTTCAAGTGTTCAATGGCTGTATTTCCATCATCACGAAAAGTTCTGTTGGACAGTACTGCTATAAAAAATTAATCGAGCCAAACAAATAATACCCTCCTCAAAGTTACAGTCGCCTGTGAAATTGTTTCTGACCAGAATGAATGGTTATTTCCTCTGAACCTCATGAGACAGGGTCTGTTCGCCTGTTTAGTGCTGACTTCATAGTTCTTCCTTTTCCAGGCAGTTTTTACATATCTTCCTCCCCCTCGGACTGAAGCACCCTCCTTGTGTTCTCATGTTTGCATCCCACCCAGGGCCTAGCACAGCTCTACACACGGAGCAAACACACGTGAAGTGTGGTTTGACTCGAGTTGAAAGGAGTATGACTGGAATAGACCAGGCATGACTAAGGGAGGCTTGGTTACCAGCTTTGGGCACAGCCACCTGAGTGGTGGTTTTTCCAAAGAGAAGGGAGGCAGGAGGTGGGAAAAGACCAGAAGGAGTACCAGAGATCACGGTCATTGCACAAAATGTTTCCTTGTAATCAGAGCCTGACTGGGCAGGTGTGGGTGGGCAAGAATGAAATCAGCAAGTTGCTCTGACTGCTTTTCCTCTTTCCCTCTTCTTATATCTCTGTGTCTGTCCATGTTGCTTAGCAGACCAAAGGAGCTGACTGGGAGTAAGGCAGAAGCTATGAGAAGTTTTGTGCACATAGGACTCATACCGCTCATTGCCAAAGACTTCCCCCATCTCCAAACAGCTCTGCAGACGGGCACACACAGAACAGTGAGCTGAACTGCACGTGACCAGGTCAGCACATTTAGGAGTTAGTGTCAAAGGCCATTCTTGGCTGCCTTATTTCTAGATTTTTCTGGGAAAGCAGTCAAATATGAACCCTCTGGAATGGACTTGGCTTTGTAGGCTGTATTTGAGGGCCACAGTGCCTGTAAGTCCCCAGGCTCTAGGACCCTGCCTCCTGAATCTTTCTGTCATCCCAACCTGGGGCAGCAAGTTTCCCCAGCCCTTCCCATTCCACCCCAGCCACTTCTCTCTAGCCATTATACTCTCCAGTCCTGAACTGGCTTCTCTAGAGCTTCTTTTCCCAGGGAAAGTCAGGAAGGAAACCTTTTCTAAGCGGCTGCCAGAACCTTGCTCCCCTCTCTCTGCACCGCAGGCCTGCTCAAGCGGCTTACGTTTCCTTTGAGGCTTAAGATCTCTATTCACTGGAGGAGGCTCCAGGTCCACAGGTAGCTCACGCAGTGGGCTCGAGGTGCTTCCTGAGCTCATCGGGATGTAGTCATCAGGGCTACTGTGGGGTCCAGGGCTCATGGCAGCGGCATGGGGGCCCATGGGCACATAGCTATCTTCGGCACTGGCTGAAGCTGTGGGGCTCATCGGAGAGAACCTGCAAGGCTACAAGAGAACAGGTACAGGTTGGCAAGCACAGACCAGCATGGAAACTGCTGCTAGTGGGCAGCTGAGCTGTACATATGGTTTCAGCTCCAAATTTTTCAAAAATAACTGTAAACTTCCTTAGAAAAGGCAAACAAGCCTCTAATTCAGGCTCTGCTTCTACACTTAACATGTGAATGTAGGCAATGACTCTCCTAGAGCTGATGCCAGAAGACAGAAGGTTATGAATTTATGCAAATGCTTTAAGTATAATACGATGCCTTAAATAGCTACCCTGAGTTAGGCAAGCATTTGGACCATTAGAACTGGCAGGGCCCTTATAGAACACCAGTGATTCTCCAACATCTTTTAAACAAGTTCAGATCTTAAGGGAAGACTGAAGAGTCCTCAGAGATTCTGAGTGCTGAGTCTCAAAAGACGTCAAACGAATATGTATAGGTCAGGCTAATTTTGGTAAAATGAAGACTTAAAGGAAGCTGAGTGCCAAACTTACCAAATTTAAACTAAGCCTCTTGTCTCGGTGTCTTAAGGATTGGCCTTCTACATCAGCTGCAAGAAACAAGCTGGGGTGGTTAGAAATGCAGGACATCAATTGAAACTAGGGTCCAAGTCCCCCCTATGCTCAACTCTGGTGAGGCAGAGAATCATAACACATAGTGTCTACATGCAAGGCTTTCTACTGACTCTACTTGAGTGGTCAGAATACATTCCCCAACAGATGGAAAATCAGACGAGATGCTGAAGAAGTTTCTACCTGATGGCTTTGGTTCTCTCTGTGAAGTAGGAGGAGATATAGTAGGTAATCAACAAATGCTTATTCCATTTATTACATGACTCTTCTAAGAGATTAGAGATGGTGGGGGCAGAGCTGAAGGCTTGCAGACAGGGGAGAAGGTTTGAAATGGCCCTGTGATGAGTGGGAGAAAGGGGTGAGCAGAGAAAGGATAGAATTGCTGGGCAGCATCAAGGGCCTAGCTGAGATATGTGACCATGATCTTCTACAGCAATAGTCAGTTACTCAGGTATAGGCATGGAGACAGTTGGATTAATCAAGGGTTGGAAACTTGTCAGGTGGGTGTGACAAATAAATAGAGTGACAAAAAATTTAGAATAATTATTGAATTTAATCCAGAAGGCAGCAAGATATATGAGCCTGGACTCAGAGGAGATATGACTTTGGAGATCAGCAGCTAGAGATGGCAGTTAAAACCATAACAGTAAATGGATGTGATTACCTACGTTAAAGGTGTTGAGATAATTTAAGTACAAAAACCCTAGAGAATCCCCAGATTCCAAGAGCAGGAAGATGAGCTAGTAAAGGATCCTGAGAAAGAGTAACCATAGAGTAACGAGAAAGTCAGGAAGGCACAGTGTCATGAACACCTCAGGAAGGGGAGAATGGCCAACAATGTTGACTGCTGCTGAGAAGTCCAGCATATGTTCTCAGAGCGTGGGGGCCAGAGCAAAGCATCCCACAAGAACATGGAGATGTAAAAAATGAGACTCCTCTGAGAAATAAACTTAAGAGTCAACATCATCTTAAAGTAAGAATAACTCCCAGCTCAGAAAGATGTGATGGAGAGTGATGGAAATAAGAATATGGATTATATATATATTACATATATATACATATACTCATATTTATATACATATATATATAGATGAAGAACTGAAGAAAACAAATTCAAGCCTCGACATGCAATATTGAAGGAGTCTATGGGGAAAATATTAAACGGCACAGGAAGCATCAAAAGAAGATGGAAGGAACACACAGAGTCGCTGTACCAAAAAGAACTGGTCGACATTCAACCACTTCAGGAGGTACCATATGATCAGGAACCGATCATAGTGAAGGTAGAAGTCCAAGCTGCACTGAAGGCGCTGGCGAAAAACAACGCTCCAGGAATTGAGGGAATACCAACTGAGATGTTTCAACAAACCGATGCAGCGTGGAAGCACCCACTCGTCTACACTAAGAAATGTGGAAGACAATTACCTGGCCAAAAGACTGGAAGAGATCCATGTTTGTATCCATTCCAAAGATAGGTGATCCAGCAGAATGTGGAAATTATCAAACAATATCATTAATATCACACATAAGTAAAATTTTGCTGAAAATCATTCAAAAGTGGTTACAGCAGTACATCCACAGGGAACTGCCAGAAATTCAAGCCAGATACAGAAGAGGATGTTGAACCAGGGATATCAATACTGATGTTAGATGGATCATGGCTGAAAGCAGAGAATACCAGAAAGATGTTTAGCTGTGTTTTATTGACTATGCAAAGGTATTCGACTGTGTGGATCATAACAAATTATGGATAACACTGGGAAGAATGGGAATTCCGGAACACTTAATTGTGCTCATGAGGAACCTGTACATAGATCAAGAGGCAGTTGTTCGAACAGAACAAGGGGATACTGAGTGGTTTAAAATCAGGAAAGGTGTGTGTCAGGGTTATATCCTTTCATTATACTTATTCAATCTGTATGTTAAGTAAATAATCCAAGAAGCTGGACTATATGAAGAAGAATGCGGCATCAGGATTGCAGGAAAACTCATTAACCATCTGCAATATGCAGATGACACAACTTTCCTTGCTGAAAGTGAAGAGGACTTAAAGCACTTACTGATGAAGATCAAAGACTACAGCCTTCAGTATGGATTACACCTCAACATAAAGAAAACAAAAATCCTCACAACTGGACCAATAAGCAAC